GGCAGCCGCCGGCGCCACCGACTTCTCCGGTCTGCAAATCCTCGATCTCGAAACCGGACAGATCAGAACGATTCTAAATTGGGAGAATGCGACCCGATCGAGCTCCACCGTGCAAGCCATCGGATCCTCTCCCCAATTTCTGTTCACCAGCTTCGAATCAGGCCGACGCAACTCAAATTCCATCATGATCCACGATCTACAGACCTTCAATCCGGTCTCAGAAATCGGCCACAACGAGATCTACGGCGCAGAGATCGACTCAGCAATCCCAGCCACAATGTTGAACTGGGTTTCGCGTTACAATCTGCTAATGGCTTCGGGGTCTCACAGTGGGCCTTCTGGAGTACAGGGCAACATCAAATTCTGGGACATAAGGTCCGGGAACGTGGCGTGGGAGGTGAAGGAGAAGGTGGACTGTTTCTCAGACATGGCCGTAGCAGAGAATCTGTCCGCCATTTTCAAGATTGGTGTGAGCTCCGGTGAAGTTTACATTGCAGATCTGCGGAAGATTGAAGATGGGAATCCATGGAAGTGCCTTGGGGACAGGATGAAGGTGGTGAATGGGAAGAAGGCAGGGGTTGGGGGGAAGATTGAGAGCTATGGGAATCAAGTGTTTTGCAGCAGAGGAGGGAACATAGAGTTGTGGTCAGAAATAATGGTTGGAAATGGAGAATTAGGGTTAGGGTTAGAGGAGAGAGTTTTCAGGAAGAATTTGATGGGGAGAGGGAAGGATTTGGGAGGGGAGAGGATAACAAGATTGGGTTTTGGAGGGAATAAGATGTTTGTGACAAGAAAAGATCAGCAATTTGTGGAGGTTTGGCAGAGTTCAGCTAAGGGATTTTGATTTTTGATCATCAACCAAGCTAATCTTTTTAACTTATGTGTTCTTCCTTTTGGGTGATTAATTTTTTAGTTTGAATACTTTTGTAGATAGTGTTGTAATTTATCAAAATCCAAGATGGGGAGGTATAGAATTATTAATTCCATTTTTTTTTTTTAAAATCTTGAAACAGCCTTTAAAAGAACTAAACTGTAATTGGATAGAACTTTAATCTTCAAGCCAACAAGGGAAAGAGTGGTTCCATTCTTTCGAAATCTCCTCATCTCTATACTGCATGTTAATTTTTTACTAATACTACAGAATAATCTCGACATAATTATTTAGCATATTGATATCAGTGTTCATTTCTATTGCTCAATTGTTGAAGTAAAAAAATCTTCTAGAAGTTATATTTATGATTAGTATTATAAAACTACATATCTACAAATACTTCAAAACTATTCCTTAAAATGAGGGGAAAAAAAGTTTAAAAAAATTCAAAAGTGAGTTAAATTGAAGCCCATAAAACTAAGGCTAGTTCCATATGAGTTCACATGCATGGTCCATTCTGTAGGAGGCCCAAGCCCATTAGTTGCAACTGTTGTCCTTTTCTTCCCATTTTGCCCTTTTCCTGTATATGTACTCCTTTTAACATATACAATTATAATTAGGCCATCAATAGTGCTCACAAAAAGGAGACATCAAATATATCCTCCGTCTGAATTGATTTTAATAAATATCCATCACATCCTTCACAGTTCAGCTCTAACAAAAAACTGTATCATTTACTTAAACATTTTCAACACGAGTTCGATTTCTCAAGCCCGAGTTTAAGTAGTCACAATTGGGGTTTATATCATCTGAATTTAGAAATTTTGTGTTTTTAAGTAGGTTAGATTTGTCAAAGCAAACATAGTTCGACGGTAATTAAAGGTTTGAGTTCGATTTCTCACCCCGCGTGTACTAAAAAAAAGTAGTCTCAATTTAGAAAAAACTGTATTTTTGGTGTAGTTTAAGTAATCTAGTGTGTGAAATATATGGTATTATTTTGAAGTAATTGCCTTACCTCATCGTACCTAATAAAAGAACCCAAATTCATGAGGTAGGGCCACTTTTTGAGGTGACATAATCTTTCAACATCTTAACATACAGAATATTCTCTATTTTTTAAAATTTTATATATTAACATATTTGAATTAAAATAAAATAAATTTTTGTTGATGGACTAGTCAAATTTAGCACGGTTAGATCTTTTATGGAAACAAGTGTATACATTTAAATATTATATTTAGCGTTTTGGATAAAATACTATAAATTACCCACTTAAAAATAGTTGAAAATATATAAGAATATAATACCAACTTACATTTATATGTGATAAGAAGATTGTGAGTTTAAATCGCTAACTCTATATATTGTACTAAAAAAATCAAATGCAATATTTATAATTATAAAACAATAGACATATCTAATTTAAATCTATCAAGCAGTGAATTATTAACTAAATTAACTTTTTTCACTTCAATAAGTTCGAGGGTCTGGTTTTTAGTGCAATTATGAAACAAGAACTATAATCATAAATGGTTTAAGTGCAATTTGCTCTAAAAATAATTATTTTATGCATCAAATAATTATCAAACAAAATCTAAGGGTGTAAAAATAATTATTTTATGCATCAATGAATAAAAATAGTATTGGATTAAGAATTACTGACTAGTGTTAAAAAAGCTACAAGTCAAACCCAAGCAACCTAATCAAATTTATACGATTAGGATTGAATTGAAAACTAATTTGCAAATTAGATCATCGGATTTTTTTTTTCTTTCTTTCTAACTCTGTTGGGTTTGTTTGGTTCGTGAGCCACTAAGTTGAACCAATCCAATTTACAATAATAGATAATTATAACTTTTATAAATTTATTATTAACTTAAAATTTACTCACACTTCAAGTTCATTTATATTTCTAACCCAAATTAATTGTAAAAGTTGTTTAGCATTCTTGAGTAGTCAGAATTTTGGAACCACCTTATTTGGAAGTTGCATAACTCTATCTAACACGTGTAAAGTGAGTTTTGATTGAAATGTAATGGAACCAAATCAATCCAATCTAATTTTACAAGCTGCTTTAGGTTGGGTTCGTAATTTGACCACAACGTTGTTTTGGTAATAGAAATCTATAACCAGAACAGAAGGATACCGGTCGATTAGGTCTAAAATATTACAGAACTCAACGGAACCAAACTCATGAACAACTTGACTAGTTATCGAAGTTGTTATCATAAATGCATGGGAAAATGGTAGGTAAAAGGTGAGAAAATCAGGAACCCTAAATTGGAGGGTGCCCCAACTACTAGTTCGGCTTGGTTTAATTCAAAGTTCCAACTTTAAAAAATTGACTTTTGTTTTCCAAACACATATTTTTATTGGGTCAATTTTTCGGTTGAAAATATTTATTTGGTTGAAATTGATGCCCCACCTTTCTAAAGAGAGAGACAGCTATTTTTAATTTAATCACTTTTTTAAATAGATATTTTATGAAAATAGTTTTAATTAAAATAATTGTATGTTTGAGTGAAGTGATTTCAATTACTAGTTTATTTGATAACTAAATAACATAAAATGATTTCTAGTCAATTATTTTATAATCATTTTTTGATAATTAATTTAAAGTGATTATCTGTGACATTTATTTGTTACCAAACCTTCTTAATTATTTTTATTATAAAATAATTAAAAAAAGGTTAGAGTTAGAGTTCAAGTTGTTACGACTCACCGTGCTCACTAAAACAACTTAATTCTATTTTTTTCAAAGAAATTAGAAAAAGAAATTTATTTTGATGGGTTAAGAAGATATATCCAAGATTTTTATATCCTATATATTAAGAAGATATAAACTTAGTTAATAACAGCTTCTTTATTTTTATGTTTATTCTTGTTTTCTAATTTTTTAAAGCCTTTCTAACAGTTTCTTTATTTTGTGCTTTATAATTTAAGATGTTTTTCAATTTCTAAATCAACTTCCTTACTCAAAAAATTTAGCTCTCAAAGAATATTTATTTGTTTATTTATTTATGTTAAATATATAATTAAATCAATATTCATCTTCTATCACATCACTTAATAAATGACCAATATTAATTCAATCTGCCAAAAATTTTAATTTCTTCACCTTTTTTGGGCTGGCAAACAAACCAATTACTTCCTTTGGCACATTAATATATTGCTGCCAATTTCCCAAGGGATTCTAATTTTTTAAAAATTAAATCTATAATAATTACAATTTATTTAAATTTAAAGTGTAATCCCATCAATGTGAAATTATTTATAATAAGACGGAATCAAATATCTCTAACCTAGAATAATTACTCTCCAACTTCTATAAACACTTATTAGCCAAGGGCTTAATTGGCACACACCAAATATTTATAACCTAAAATTAATTATTTTTTTCTTTTATGATAGGCACATGAAACTTTCTTGTAGATCACCAATTGACAAATATAAAAGAGAGATTTTTTTTCCTTATATAGCTAACTTTATTTATTTATTCTATAATTAAATTATTTCCTTTGGTCTATTTATATATTAATGCACATTGCTTAATCTACATGCAATGTTTAGTAAGGCAACCCAAAAAATAATTGAATCGTTTCCCACCTTATGCAAATAATAATAATAATAATAATAATAATAAATTTAGAAAAACAATTTTTGATGAAAGGAAAGAAAAAATTATCCATTTATACTTTTAATAGAAATTTTGAAATACCATAATCTAAACTAACTTTAAGTTTAAATCATTCTATAAATGGGATATATCGGAAAAAAAAGGCAAAAATATGATATACATTGGGATGGACAACTATGAGATATTGGGTCGATATTTAACTAATCCATTGATTGCTCTTTTAGTTGAAGCATTGAGTCATCTTTCTAGTGTCATTTATACCTTTGAATTACCTCAAAGTAAATTTTTATAAGACAGTGGAATTAGATCAAATGTTGATTGCTTAGTGCGAAGGTAAAAAGATTAATAATTTCAGTAATATTTAGTAATTGATTATTAATTTTTTACCTATATTATCAATAACACATTTCTATAATTCAATAGTTAAGTATTGAAAATATTATATAAGGAGCACAATTCAATATTTACTAATATATAAAAATAATAGTTGCTAAACTTGAAATTATCTACCTAATTTATTTTCCTTGATTGAGATTGACCCTATATTAAATACATTCAATCTTGTTTACAAAAGTAGGTTTTGTGTAATATTGTGTCAAACAATAAATTACGAAGTCATTAAAAGAAATATTGTGTCGAACAGATAACATGGTAGCTCGATCGCTAAAACCAAACAAGGCCACGTGATGAAAGTTAGTTAATTTGGACTTTATTGATAAATTATAAAGAGGACAAAAAAAAGTTATAAAAAGAGAAAATAACTAAAATTAAACTTACTATTTCTTCGTTGGAGATATATATCAATTATCACTCAGTTATGCTCACTTTGTGAAGTTTACTTATTTGTAAAAAGTGTGTTAATTTTAAATTTTGGTCTCACCTTAATTAAAAAATTTATGAAAAACTTGGTTCAAGTTAACAACAAACTTCCTCCTTAATACCATTAAAGATATTAAATATTTGACAGCTCATTTTAATTTTTTTTTTATATTTCTCTCAATTAGTTGTCAAATATTTAATGGTGTTACTATCTTGTCAAGTTTTTTTCAAAGCTCCATTAAAATCTATTCATCCCGCTAATATGAACTTAGCTCATCGACACATAATTCTTTACTTGAGGTCAAAATTTCAAACCCATTTATTGTACTTAAAAAAAACCTCTTTTCACCCCTTGTTTTGAGCGGGTGATCATTGTGGTGGCCCTCTCCAACCTACCTATATAATACATATATATATTAATGTCCATGTGTTAGATAGTAAAATAATGATTACAAAATTGCCCATCAACAAATGTAGCAAATGTTTAGATTTTATCATTAAGCTTCCCATCAACTCTCCCCTTTATATAAAAAGAAAACAAATGTAAACTACATATTTGTTAGGTTTCGAAGGGTTATATTAGAAGTGCAATGGTCCCGCTATTGAAAAATGTACAAAGAGTCCATTTGCTCCGAGGGATATAAGAAAAAGTCCATGACTTTGAGTTTTATTCATTCCAAATTGAAACATTTAAGTCTAAAGAGCATTTTATAGAATTGAAGTCGGGAAGAGAAAAGAGAAATATGTGTGATTGTAATAATTTTTTATATAGTGAATCTTTCTATGAGTCATCGTTTTCCTTCAATTTAGAGTTTTCCATGTTAATTCTTTTATTTTTTTTTTATTTTCTTGCTTTCTTTAAAATTTTAAGTTGTTTTCTGCTTATTCTTAAGTTTTTCTTCCGATCAATATTCTTACAAATTGATATTTTAAAACTCATATTATTCATGCCACAATTTTTAATTTTGTTAAAACTAAACGTCAGTAGCCCCCTAGTAGTAAAATTGGTGTAAATTAGAGGAAACAAGCCAAAATGGACAAAATATAAAAAGGAAAAAAAAAACTACCAATTTAATTGGTTTGATCAATAAATATATATACTATTCGTTGATTTAGTTAGATTTCAATAAGTTTAAAAGAAAATGTTATTATTGATATTCTTTTATGCTCAAGAAAATTATGTCTGGATTGGTTGACATAATATTATTGAAGACCTTAGCTTCTTAATTTACATTCTTAAAAATTAAAAATTATTACACGCATATATCTTCACATTTCGTTTGACATTGTCAAAGCGAGCATAGCTCAACGGTAATTGACATATACCTCAAACCAAGAAGTTGATAAAAGAGGTATTCGTAGACATTTTGCAAGAAAGCAAATAATAAAAATTTTGATGTAGTATCATAGTACTTAATTTTCTTTCCTTATAAATTGGTTTATAAAGGAATAGATACATTGTTTCGTTGAATAGTCACACATCTTGATCGATCACACCTATATGGAAGGAATGCGCACTACTTTTGATCTAAACCGACACCTCATTGGAAAAATAGCATCGAGTAGAAATATGAAGGACAAAATAGGCAGGTTAAAAATCTCAATCCCTTTCTATATAATATAGATATAGATTATTTAATTAATATTAATATTAATGTGTTTATTATTCGTTAACTTATGTGTATAATTGATAGAATTACATTAAAATTCATTTTAAATCATTAAATAGTTATTTAATTGATATTAATGTGTTACGATTAACATAATTAATAAATATTAAGTAATTGATTGTTATATACGTGCTTAATTCCTTTCTAATTTTTATTGATAAAATTTATTAACTTAACTTAATGAATTATTTGTTAAATATCAATTAATTAACTAATAATGTGTTAAATTTAGTCAGTTAAATAATTTAGTAAATAGTTCATCTTTCCAATAATTATAGTTAATTATTTCGTTAAATTGTTAAATTCTTATTTTTAAATATTAATTGATTATTTAAAATTAATAAGTTTATATTAGTAGCTCATGTTGTCAAAAGGAACATAGCTCAGCGGTAAGCCGATAATTTACATTTATTTCAAATCAAGAAATTGTGAGTTGGATCCCCACTCCTATATTAAAAAAAAATAGTAATTAATGTCTCATAATTCAACGATACTTCAAAAATGAATTTCTCAAAACAAAAAAATAAAAAACTTCATTTATTCCATAAAATCTTTATATTATTATCAAGGCCAACAAAACAAGGTAATTTCTACCCATTTATATCTGAAATAGGAGTGTCATGAACGTGAGTGGACGAAAAAAATATTTTTCCATTTTAGTTCTTGAGTGAGTTGGGAAGGGATAACCTACATAATCAAGGTTCTCCATTTAAATATATACACTTAATTTTTATAATTATGTAATCAAAATTAAATGTTCAGAACCCTAACCATAATAATTTTAACTTCTCTCTCTCAACTTGAACCCTCAATTTTTTTTTTATTGAGAATTTCTTGAGAATATGAAAATGATTTAAGTGATCCTACTTGAAAAATTAAATGATCCTTTATAATTTAAAATGGACGGAGGTGTAAGTATTTACTAATTTAGACAATAATTCGTAAAGTTTTAACACTTATACTATCAATTTTAAAATTGAAAAATTTAATCATTGCATGTACTTTATAAACGTAGGTTTTAGTCCTACTCATTTTAAAAAATGATCAGTTTCGTCGTTTCATTTTTATATTTATCACATTTCTTTAATGTTAAAATTTGAAATGGAGACGTGAGAATTCATTGTTTTTTAATATACAGATATTAAAATAGTATGTAAAATGCTTAATAAATAGATAAAAAAAATAGAAAAGATAGAGGAGAAAAAAAGAGAAGTGTTGAAAAGTGTGTGTGATGATAATTAGGACCCGGCCCCTTCTCTCCAACTCCAACTACATGTGGTGGTATTAATGGACATTGGTTTATCTTCCTCTTTATAATAACCTCCCTTCACTCCATCTCCATACATATATCATATCGTCTTCCAAAAACAAACCCAACTGCAATTTATGCCTCCCCATTAATGCTCCTTCTTCCTCTTCCCTAATTTCTTATAAAATTCACTTTTTCCAACTAAATCCCTCCCATCGCTCCTTTTTCTTCTTTTCCCTTCTTCTATTATTCCTCGTCTCGGAGATGGACACGGCGGCGGCGGCGGCGGCGGCGCTGCTCTCTGCCCTGCTCGCCTACTTCTTTTGGTTCCTCAATGTAAAGAGGTCCTTGACCGGGCCACGTGTCTGGCCGCTACTGGGCAGTCTCCCGGGTCTCTTCAAGAACGGTCACCGAATGCATGACTGGATCGCGGACAATCTCCGCTCGGCGGGCGGCACGTACCAGACTTGCACGTGCGCCGTCCCCTTCTTAGCCAGGAAGCTTTGTCACGTGACCGTCACGTGCGACCCGAAGAACTTGGAGCATGTTCTCAAGACCCGGTTCGAGAATTACCCCAAAGGCCCCAATTGGCAGGCCGTGTTCCACGATCTGCTCGGTGACGGAATCTTCAACTCCGATGGCGACACGTGGCTCTTCCAGCGTAAGACTGCCGCGCTGGAATTCACCACCAGGACTCTCCGCCAAGCCATGGCTCGTTGGGTCAGCCGAGCCATCGAGTCCCGGTTTTGCCCGATTCTCGATTCGGCCCAGCGTCGAGCTGAGTCGGTCGATCTCCAAGACCTCTTGCTTCGGCTTACGTTCGACAACATTTGCGGGTTGACATTCGGTAAGGACCCGCAAACTCTGGCTCCTGAATTGCCCGACAATGACTTTGCTCGGGCGTTCGATCGAGCCACCGAAGCCACGTTGTCCCGGTTTATTTTGCCCAAATTTATATGGAAGATGAAGAAATGGCTCCGGCTCGGGATGGAGGTGACATTGAGCCACAGCCTCCAGCACACGGATCAATACTTAACCAACATCATCAAGACACGTAAGCTCGAACTATCCAGTCAGCACCAAGATGGAAGTGGGACCCCACACGCACACGACGACTTGCTGTCGAGATTCATGAAGAAGAAGGAATCCTACTCAGACGCGTTCCTCCAACACGTGGCACTCAACTTCATCCTAGCTGGACGGGACACGTCATCCGTGGCGCTGAGCTGGTTCTTCTACCTGGTCACCCAAAACCCAAGAGTTGAAGAGAAAATTCTCGCCGAAATCTGCACCGTCCTGATGGAGACACGTGGCAGCAAGATATCCACGTGGGTCAACGAGCCACTGGGATTTGAAGAAATCGACCGATTAATTTACCTGAAAGCCGCCCTGTCGGAAACCCTCCGGCTGTACCCGTCGGTGCCGGAAGATTCCAAACACGTGGTAAACGACGACGTTTTGCCCACCGGAGCTTTCGTTCCGGCGGGTTCATCGATTACATATTCTATATACTCCATCGGGCGGATGAAATTCATTTGGGGAGAAGATTGCTTAGAATTCAAGCCGGAGAGATGGTTGGATTCGAATGGCAAAAAATTCGAGCTTCAAGATGCTTATAAATTTGCCGCCTTTAACGCTGGCCCGAGGATATGTTTGGGAAAAGATTTGGCTTACTTGCAAATGAAGTCCATTGCGGCGGCGGTGTTGCTCCGGCACCGGCTGACGGTAGCGGCCGGCCACCGTGTGGAGCAGAAGATGTCGTTGACGTTGTTCATGAAATATGGACTCAAGGTTTATTTGCATCCGAGAGAATTGAGCCATGTAGTGGAGAAGATCAGCAAGACGGCGGCGGAGACGGCGGCAGTGTCGGTGGCAGCAGCTTGAGGTTGCTGCAGGCGGCGGAATATGGCCGTCTAGTAATTACAGTATTGTTATTGTTAAATTTGTTTGTAGAAATTGTAAGTTTTTTGTTAATTGTATTTAATCATAGTTAAAAGTTGCTGTAAAATTGAAGAAAAGAATCTCACAAAGTGAGGATTCTTTTAAAAGATGTTATGCTATCACTAAATAAAACAATTATTGCAAATTTACAACTTCCGGTTCTTTTTTAATTCGGTTTTTCATAAGTCGATGGATTTAAGATTTTGGGTATTTATATTGTTTCTTCACAATTTCTTTATTAATGTTATTATTCACATGCTTGAATTTTTAGGCAAGTTTAAAAACCGAGTACTTTTTCGTAAACTACCTCTCTTTTAGTTGTTAAGAATTTGGTTTAGATTTTAAGAATATTTTCAGAATGTAGATAACCAAACAAAGAAACAAACTATATATATAGAAATTTTAAAATAAGATAATTGTGAAACGAGGCTAAATTATCAATTCTGGGTCTTATCACGAAGAAAATGTTCTTAAAAGCTAGATAACGAAATAAGCACATTCATCAAAAGTGGAAATAAAACTTTAGTTTTCAAGAAAAAAAAACCAGGATAAGATAGTTGTAAAACAAGCCTGAATTATCAATTTTGAGTTTTATTATTTGAATTTAATATCAATTCAGTTATTGGGTTTGGATTTAATTTCAATTGGTGTAGATTTATGAGATTTGGCCAAGTGATACAAATTTTAAAGCTTTCTCACAAAAACGAAAGTAAACATCTTAAACCATAAATTTAAAACTAAATTGGAATGATAGACGTTTAAACTACAGCTAAGTCCATTTTTATAATAGTAAACACTGAAAAGCATGCATAACAAAAAGCCAAGATATATGATTGAGATCCCACGTGACATGCACAAATGAAACTATGAAAAGTTCTGGAGACAATGATGATCCACAAAAAGAATAATTCTCCATTACAAACTTCAAAATTACACCACTGGCACATTGATAATAACTTAATTTACACACAAATCCATCTCTCTCTTCAACGACCAAATAAACAAGAAATTAAAGATTACAAAAAAAAAAAAAAAAACCAAAAGAGAGCTAAAGATAAGACGAGTGAAGATGATGATGATGAAATGAAGCTCTTCTTCAAGCTCTGGCCTTGAATGGAATGGCTCTGATGATGATCTGGTGGTAAATAGCAGCAAGAGCAGCCCCAATGAAGGGTCCCACCCAGAAAATCCACTGCAAACAGTAGTACCATATAACAACCCATCAAAATTTTGTTCATTAAATCTCAACCCTTCATCAAAACCAGACCAGCCATTCATCCCACAAGAATATAATCCATTTCCAGAGGTAAAGTTTTACATGTTAAGATTAATGGGTGATTTAACATTCCCTTCTAATATTTCTTTTCGAAAATTTACACACAGATTAGAGAAGACCTCAAAATCTTAATTCCTTTTTATTTACTTCTTTTTAATCTAAGATCATCACAAAAAGGGTAAAAAAATCAATAAAACCATAGCATAACATCTACTCTCTTTTTAGTTTATCAACAAAAGTAGAGGGGATTCGACCCTCTAATTAACCAACAATGGTTAATATTTTGGCCAATTCAAATGAAATTTACCACAACTCAAAAGTCTTTAAAGCTAAGCTTTCGGGTTGATTGGCGATTTATCGTAAATCTAACATTTCTTTTATCCGATCTTTCAAATTTGAAAATTTCCACATAGATTAGAGAGGAGATCTCAAGATCTTAATTACTTTTTATATACTCTATTATCTAAGACCATCACAAGAGGGTAAAAAATTAATAAAGCATATATAAGAGATTCTCGAAACTCCACGCCAGACGTTGAACTAAAAGAACAGGGTGACATTTTGAAATATTTAACCACGAAAATTGAAACAAGTTTCAAATACTATAGGGGCTAAAGTAGTAATTTTAGCTCAATTGTATACTCACATGGTCATCCCAAGCGTGCTGCCGGTTGTAGATAATGGCGGCTCCGAGACTCCGCGCCGGGTTAATTCCGGTGCCGGTGATGGGGATGGTGGCCAAATGAACCAAGAACACCGCGAAACCGATGGGAAGAGGAGCCAAAATCTGCAACATTATATTCAACCAAAAAAGTTCAAAATCAATTTTGAAATTAAAAAACCCTAGATTACTATTTGATTTGATCTTATTTGATTTGCCCCTTTTTTTGAGAAGAAAATTGAGGGTTGGTTTCTTACAGGGACGTGAGAATCTCTGGCGTTTCTCTTGGCGTCAGTGGCAGAGAAGACGGTGTAGACGAGAACGAAGGTGCCGACGATCTCGGCGCCGAGGCCGTCGCCCTTGGTGTAGCCGGGGTTGACGACGTTGGCGCCGCCGAACTTCTGCTCGTAGATCGACTTCTCGAAGCCCTTCACCACGCCGGCGCCGCAGATGGCGCCTAGGCACTGCATAATGATGTAGAAAATGGCTCTCGTCAGAGACAGCTTTCTCGCCAAGAACAGCCCGAACGTCACCGCCGGGTTAATGTGCCCACCTGAAAACACACACAAACAAAACACAATGAAATTGCTTCAAACGGAGTCCTAGAAATTTCATTTCCTCTTTAAATTTGTCATAAATTCTTGATACTCAACAGAACTTTCTTAGTTCAATATGGGAGGAGGAAATTCCAACTTCTCAAGTTTTGGTGGAAAATATATAAATCTTAACCTAGAAAACTATGCTCAAATTTAATAGAATTTTTCACAGTAAAAACTAACTAAGATAACGATTCATAACCATTTTGTTTTCAGTTAAAAGTTATCGTCACAAATTTTAAACTATAGCAACTAAATCGTTATATACTAACTAAAAACATTACTCCCATCCGCACAGATCTAAGAGAACTCCATTAGAACGAGAAAATGAAAAACTACCGGAGATGCCGGCGGTGCAGTAGACTAGGGCGAAGATCATGCCGCCGAAGGCCCAAGCGATGCCCTGAATGCCGACGGTGGAGCACTTGGTGGGGGCTCGGCTTACGCCCATCACCGTCAGAATGGTGATGTACAGGAACAAGAATGTCGCCACGAACTCCGCGATTCCGGCTCTGTAAAACGACCATGACGTCAGCTCGCCTGGCTCGAACAGCGGCGCCGGCGGCAGCTCCTTGTAGTCCTTGTCCGTCTGCGCCGACGTCCCGATCGGCTGCCTCTCCGAGTACTTGTTCGCTCCCAGTTTCACATCCTCTTCCTTACCCTCCATTTTTTTCTTCCTTCTTCTTCACTGAACTCTTCTTTCTCTCTCTAGAACCAGTTTTCTCTCTCCTCTCCCTTTTTTTTGTTCTTTACTCAATGGCTTTCGTGTTGGCAGATGGGGTATTTTTATAGACCAAAATGGGTCTCTTTTCCCAAAGTGAAATAATTATGGGTTTGGAGTGTTACTTTTCTTTACTTTTTTTTCTTTTTTGTTAGGCTATAGTTTCTATGAAAATTTAAATCACGTATTTTATTTGAATTTTGTCCTTTCTAATTTTAAAGATTTTTTAAAAAAATATATGTAATACTATTAAAGTATAAATATGGCGTGAGAATGAAACTTTTTAACCTACAATATAGTTATTAGTACTTGATCACAAGGTTAAAAGATATTTTCATTTCTTTTCCTACCAATTTGAATATAATTCAATTATATAAATGGTTAGTAACTTCTTATGCAAATGTTAGGACTCAAATTCTCATTTCATCTTTTGATTGAACAACAAAATATCAAATTATATAGTCCGTCTACCACATTTTCAGATAATTAAACGTGGTTTTTTAAAAGAATTTAAAATTTCAACATTTTCTCTATAATTTTATTTTTTAAAAAAATTTAAAACGGATAGATTATTCATTTAAAAATTAAAGTTAGAACATAAAGTTTTGTTATCCATTCTAAAATCTATGATAAAAGAATGATAAATAACAGGAACATAACTCAACCAACTTCATTTTCAAATTTTAAAAGTTCAAATTCCCATACCCAAAAATAACTGCAATATTTAAAAAGAAAAAACTTATTGAAACCTTATATTTAATTAAAGAAAGGATAAGGGTCATGATGGAAAATTCAAGAGGTGCACAAGAATCAAATTATTAAAGTATGTAAACTAAAAAAAAGGGTTAATTTAAGCTTTAATAAGATAAAGTTAGCAATAGGATTAAAATAATGTTAAGATAAAACATATAATTTAGAGAGGGGCATTGTGGTTATTTCGAGGATCTTTCTAGAAAAAGGGTATGGGATTTGACAGGTTCTGGGTTGGTCTGTCTTTGCTGTTCTTATCCTCAACAGGGATACTCCAGAGTGTCATCTTTTTGTTCTGCATCATATTTTGTCTCTCTCAATTTCCCTTTTTTTTTTTTTAACTCTAATTAGAATCACCTAATCTCTTTCTTAACATTAAGGTTTACTTATTAAAAATTAAAATTAAAATCGTGAAATCAATCAAAATATAAAAAAAGAAAAAAAATTATTTTGAAATCGGAATAAAGAAATCTACTATTGTTGTTACTTTAACCTCTTAACACGTGTAATACTTGTTTCTTATTATTATTACTATTATTTTCATTACTAAATAGTGTACTCATATTATTTTTTAATTAAAACAATAAAATATTTTAATTTGTTTTTAGTTATTTGTTTTCTGTTTTAATAATTTATTTAGTATAACAAATAATTAATAATTAAAATAAAATTATATCAACTAAGACAATATTAATATAGTTTTTATTGAACAATTATTGATAATATAAAATATTATTAAATGTTTATTATATTGTTTAGTACTAACTAATTATATTTTAGTAACATAATTGATACTATTTTTAACAACAAAATTAAATTAAATAGAAGTTTGCAATATTTTATAATAAAGTCATGTCCTAACAAAAATTAGCAAAAATAAAATATTAATAGTATAAATGGACAAAGAAGCCGTAAAATTTTAAAATAAATAATAAAAAAAGTTATGGGTGGTAAATATAAATGAATTAGATTTACCCAACCCATTAGCTTAAGCTTTTGGGTTGAGTGTGGTTTATTCATCCCTAAGATGATATCGGTTTTCTTTTACTTTGAAATTCAATTTCTTTTTCTTTTTGTTTTTATTTATTTTCTAATTAGTTAGTTGAGGGATTATGATTCAACCACCAAATCTTCACGAAAAACGCGACCCCAAAGTGAGGGAATTAGAAAGATAATAATAAATAACTTATTCCAAAATTAATCATACCATAATCTCATTTCAAAATTTTATAATTAAATTAATCAAGCTTAAATATTTGGTCAGGTTTAAACTCATGAGAGGTTGATGTTTTGATTTTGCCAACATAGGGGTCACGTTTAGGGGTGTTACCATCTTTGTTCTTGCCTAACAATGTTTGTCCCTACCTAAAACTAGCAAAATAAATTAATTTGCAGATGGTCCTAAAAGGAAATATATTACGTGAGCTTGTATACAAGACTTTCTGTTATGATATCATGTTAGTTTATCATTGAATCCAAAAGCTTAAGCGAATAGGTTACAACAAATTTATCAATACTCTTAACATTCGAGTTTCAACTTACACCTACTTTCAACCTATTCTTTAATTTGTAGTTATATTTAGGAATTTTTGTGTGGTTAAGGATATCCTTTAATTGATTATATTTTTTAAAGAGAAGAAAAAGAAGGGAATGGACATAAAAAATTACTTATTTGTTTAAACCAAAAGGGGCAGGAAATTATTATCTTTTGTTAAAAAATCAAATCAAATCAAAATGGTTGTAATGTAACGATCACATGATTAATGGATCCACAAACGAACAAATAATAGAAAAAGAAAATTGGGAAGGAAAAAAAAAAAGGTGAAGGTTGTTGGGTTTGGATAAATGATTCTAAAAATGGGGGGTGGGGGATAAAACGGTAATTTTGAAAAAGCAAAGTGATGGATTACAGCTTTTAGAGCAGAGCAAAAGCAACTGGATTTTAGCTTTAAAACGGTACGAAAATCAGAGCCACAGAAGAGATGCAAAGCGGAAACAAACAAAACCAAAACGAGTGGCTGAGATCAACTGGCCGTTTTGTTACCGTTGCGACCCCCGCACGTTTGGACGTCGGGTCCCCACTTCATGTGGCCACGAGACAAATAATGGAACTCCTTGAGGGGCATTTAGCAAAATAATGAAATATATATTAGATTGCATATCCTATTTATATACTTTTTATTAGTTCAACAATGTTGAAATATCAAGAATCAGGGATTCTATCCCTTTTAAACTCTGTTCTTGTTTAATGACTCTTTTGTTGCATTTTTCTTTTTTTCTTTTAGAGAAAAAATATATATTTTAATTAGATATTTATTTAATCTATATGTTTTCTGTTAAAAAATAATAATTATAGTAACGTACATTTTGACTTTTGAATTATGGTTTGTATTACCAACCAAGTATAGGTTAAATGGTGTAAGGAGCTAGTAACTTGTTTGAAAGGCTTAAAAATTATGCTTATCATCAATGTAAACCTAACATTTTCATTTATAGATTTGAAATGTTTTTTTCTTTTTTTTTTCAAAATTTTAACTATATATGAGGGCAATGATTCGAACCTCCTTATCTTTTAGTTGATAAAATATACTTAACCAATTGAACTAAGTTTAAGTTATAGATTTCAAAGATATGACTAGATAGAAAATTGTAAAATCAATACTTCTATGTGCAATGTCTAAGAAAACGTAACACACAAACGTCAATCAACATTTAATGATGGAAGAGACTACTTAAAATATTGAATCAAACTATAATTAAGGACCACAAGAGTACTTTTAGAATTATCGAAAACAAATTGAAATCAAGCTCACATATTTTTCAAGCTTGAGTTTATCTATTTATTTAAATTATACATCAGAATAAGTTGTTTTCATTTAGTATCAAAAGAAGAGTCATAAAATTAATGATTTGAAAAAGTTAGGATGTTAAAAAAATAATCATGTATAATTTTATGTAGTTTGTAGAATTAGTCCATCAAATACTAAACATAGTTAGACTTTATAACTTCGAGTTAATCAAATAAGATCTATAAAATGTAGCATAGCTCAGTAGATGATATTGATGGTTTTATTTCTACTTCTACGATTGTTGAACTAAAAAAATAGTACATCGTAGTAAATAATTATTTGATAGGCAATCAAAAAATTAAAAAAAAAAAAAAGAAAAAGAAGGGAAAAAAGAAAAACTTCTAACAAGATCATCATTTGTAACAAAAAGAAATATATGTATATTTTTATTATAAAGTTGCAATAACCTTTTCAAGCCAACATCAAACATGAAGTGTTCGATTTGATAGATTGGTTTTACTTTGTAGACTTGTAGATGGTTCTAGTGAGACCTCCTGAAGCAATGACCAAAGAAAAGAACTATATTTTAACACAAATTTTAAAAAATATATATAATAATCCAAACTAAATCACTTTTATTTAGTTAAATAAGACCAACATAAGCATAGTTTAATGGTAATTTACATGTTTTCCTTCCCTCGAGGTTAACCACGATATAATAAAAACTAATTTTAAATACTATTTTGGACCATGTATTTTCCACTTTTGTTCATTTTAATTATTATACGTTCAAAGCATCAATTTTGGATCTTATACTTTCAGTATTTTTGTCTACGTTAATTCTTGTACATTAGAAACAATCGTTTTGGTGCCTGTATTTTTAGAAAGTGACAATTTTAGTTTTTTTCCATTTACATTTTTATCTCATTTATTTCAATCAGAACTTTAGCACGATACTTCACTTACTAATTTTTTAAAATGTAGTCATAAATTTGTAGTAAAGATTTTCATAATATATAAAAATTGTGTTAAAATTTTGAAAACAATGATCGAAATGGTTACTTTTTAAAAGTACATACACCAAAACGAACGTTTGAAAGTATAAGAACTAAAATAAACAAAAGTTGACAGTACATAAATTAAAATAAACTCGAGTCGGAAGTACAAAAATTAAAATAATATTTAAAGTTTATACACTATATATAACAACATATATTAATTACGACTCCATAAATTTTGGAGGAATGATTAATCAAATTAAAAATTTCGAAGATGTAATTCTAAGTTCTATCCATTTTGAAGTGGTCTTTGCATTTATTTTTTCTCTATAAAAAGTGATATAAAATAATTGTTTAATATTTTGTTAAAAAAATAAAGAAAAGTTCTTCCAAAGTGACCAATTGAAAATTAGAAAAACCATTGTATAACTATTTAAATATAGCATTTACAAAAAATGCCAAAAATGACAACAGTCACTTAATAATTTCCATAATGATTGAATTAGGCTCTTTATCATGTTTTCAATAACTATTGGATAGAATTTAATTATAAAACATATGGTGTCAAATTATTAACACATTGCACCGATTTAATGACGTAAGAAATGTTTATTTAAAAAGTATTTTGCGCATTCCATTGACAAAACAACCTACTTAGTGTCATTTTATTAAAAAATTTTCCTTTTTTTTTTTTTTGAAGAAAATATCATATTAATTTGATTATGACTCTTTATTGAACATTAAAAAGAAAATTCAGACAAATTTTCAGTTAAGATTTTTTTACTTGATTGAGAGTAGAAATTTAAATTTATAACCTGGGAGAAGGTCACTTTATACGAGTTATGTTGGCGTTTGCAATTTTCAATGAAACTTAATAAGGGAGGAAGATGTTCATATTATCATGACCAAATATTGGTTGGTTTCATTTAATTTTTTTGTCTTTTTAAGCTGAATTTGTTTTCAAAAAGTAAAAAAAAACAATTGAATAATATCATGGTGATATTAAGGTCTCCTCAACCATTCTATTCTTTAGTTTTCTGTTTTTGAAATTTATTGGTTGCTTACCATTTTCTTAGTATATTTTCACATTTTTAAAAAATACATTTGCATTCATATTCAAATTTCAAAAACAAAAGTAAGTTTTTGAAAACTACCTTTTATTTCGATTTTTAAAATTTGACTTATATTTTGAAAACGTTTTAAAAAGTAGATAGTAAAAATAAAGAAATACGTAAATGAAAAGTTTTGTTAACCAACTTAATTTTTAACCATGGAGTTGTGAGTTCGAATCCTACCCCATTTGTTGTATTAAAAAATAAAAATAAATAAGTTTAATTTTTAAAAACATAAAATCAAAAACAAAAATAATTATCATGGTGAGATATGAAGGATCTTATGATAATACATAATTGAGTTTATTGTTTTAGTATAAATTTTAATTGAATTTTTCTTTTGGATTTGAGAAATGTATTGCAAAATTTAAAATATTAAAAATAAAAGTGACGAATAATGTATAACTCTAGTAGGTTTAATTCTCAAAAAAAAAAAAAAAAACAAAAAACTCTAGTAGGTTTAAATCTTGTTTTGGCTCTCAACGCATTTACTCCATTTTTTGGTCCATGAATTTTAGAAAAATAGGTATTTTGATCTTTACCTTGTTTTTGACAAAAGTCGCACTTTCCAGACAATAAACAATGGTGTGACGAAATAATAGCCAAAACAAAAATGGTTAATTTTGTAAGTTCAATAACTAAAATTCGACTTTCTATGATCAAAATGTAGCAAAATATTAAAAGTTTGGACTAAAATAAATTTATACCAAAAAGTGTGTATTTTTTAATTTGACAAACGTGGTAGGGAGAATCAAACCTTTAACTTCAGTGAAAGTAATAGATGTTTTATTCACTAAGCTTTGTTTGAATTAGGTAGACCAAAATGAAATTTAGATTAAATTACAAATATAGCTCTTTAACTTTCAAGATTGTGTCCAATAACTCTAGGAATTTTAAAAATTGTCTGATAGATCTTTTCAAAGTCATGGCTAGTAGGTCTCTAATATCTAATAAGTTCATAACTTTATATTAGAAAACTAAGCTAGGGCCCGTTTGGTAACGTTTCTAATTCTTGTTTCCGTTTGTTTTTTTTAATGAAGAAATATAGAATTGCCTGTCTCCAATACCTATGAATTCAACAATGATAAAACTATATTTTTATTTATGTTTTGGAATAAATTGGAAATGAGAAGAAACATAAAACTTGTTTTTCGTTGTTTCCAAAATTTCTATATAGTTTTTGAGAATGTTTCAAAAAAAATAATAAATAAAATAAGAGAAACAATAAACATAAATAGTTATCAAATGACGTAGATCTCTTAACAAAATTAGAAACAAGAAATTACCAAAGAGCTCTAAACTTTTAATTCCTGTCTAATAAAAATTCGTGAATTTAAAAAATATATAATTGACAAAAAAACCTATTAGATATAAAATCAAAAGTTTAAAGACCTAGCTACGTGTATAACTTAATATAAAATTTAAACCTTACAAAACACTAATAAAAAAAAAAAGAAAAAGAAAGTCCCAACCAAAAAGATAGAAATAGCTCCTCCTCCATGTGCCCCTAATGAAGAAGTTAGCCACGAAAAGGGTGAATGGGACCATCAATGGCTCACCAAAAAGAATTCCCTTCCATTTTTTCTATTCAAAATGTCCCTATTTTACTTTTGGAAATGGCCATGTGGGCCCATTTTTCTTATTCTCTTTTTTTTTTTCCTTTAATTATTAAAAAGAAAAGAAGAAAGAAAGTGAGGAGAGGAGTGTCTGACAACTCAGACCCATTGGATGCCTCACTGCCATATGGGATTGTGCCAACATCATTCACATGCAACCCTTTAACAACAATGTAAATTGATGATTTGGACAATATAAATTATATAATATTTTAAATTAATATATTTGGCCAAGTCAGCAAAACACAATCTCCGTGGGAGGGGAGGAAGAAGAAGGTGAAATAATGAAGATAATTTAAAAAGAGAAAGAGAAGTCCAATCATTAAAAAAAATTTATTAAACTAATATATTTGGCCAAATCAGCAAAATAAAGTAAATGCACATCATTTTAATATTAGTCAGTCAATAATCAAAATAGCTTACAGACCTCACTAAAAGTGTCACTTTTGAAATTTCAAATACTAAATAGACACCTACTCCAAATTTCAGTGACTAAAAGTATCAATTTTAAAAGTGTAAGGAAATAGACATCTACCCCAAATCTTAAGGATAAAGTGTATTTTTCTCTAAAATTTTTTAACTTATCAAAAAATATCTTAATTAATCGATTAATTTTGATGTTTTACTTGGTGCATGCATTTTTTTTTTTTGGTGGAGAATGGACATCGCTAATAGGGTTAGCATTGATCATCCGAGAACAGTCGGTTTGAAAAAAATGGGGAATGGGGTAATTTTCAAACTGACTTGAAATTTTAATATGCATGAAACTATTATAAACTCAACTGAATTTTGTATACATTGTGCTTAGTTTGGAGGTTTATGATATGAAGATAAGTATATAGTATAAGTTAGTTTTATAAGTATAGTTTAATGTAACCTATTTATGTAGCTCTAGCGAGCTCGTGGAATTGGTAAACTAGTAACTTGGAGATAAGCAAACATAGTGATAAATATAGACTCAAGTTTCCTAATTACCCCGAGTTACATAAACCTAACGACGGTCAAAACACCTCATAGATACTTAGAAACAAGATCGTATAGTTCAATTTCATGTCATCAACGTGCAAATTAAACGTTTAGGAAACATTGCAAAAAGAAAAAGACGATGTACACAAACACGGTGTATACAATACTGTCAAATCATCCAATTAAAGAATATATCAAAGTTTAAAGCCAAGTTGGCATCATAGCAAGTCATGGAGATTTAGCCACAAGTAATCTAAAAAAGACTCATAATCTTCATTGTTTACAACATTAACGTATTCTTATGAATAACTAACTATAAAACCCTATTTGAATTAAGGCAACTGACCTTTCACCACCAGCTCTTGCTTGCTCTAGACAGGCTGGCTTCCTTAATCACTATATATATATAATGCTATAAACACTACAACATAATACATGGGGAGTGCCTCATTTTTCTTCTTTTTAACCATCATTGATGAGAAGATGGGCATGAGGGCAGGCCCTTTCTGGTTCTCCTTTTGTCCAAAGAATCCCCAAATCTCCTCTCTTCTTCCCCAATGTCAAAAGGGTTCCTACATGAAGATGTGAACTACCGGTCATGTGGGGCCTACCGTGTTTCGGTGTGGAGTATTCGTAACTTTAGATTTATTCGTGTGTGAAGTCGAACTTTGTTTTGATGAACTCAAGTTGTTGGTTTGTTTCAAGTTAGTGAATAATGTAGTTCTTAATGGTTACTGGTGGTGTTGGACATGAGAGTAGGTAATTTACCGAGAGTGAACGGGACGATGTAAAGTAGTGCGGGCTGGCCATGGCCGTCCATCAGGTTCAAAGCCACATAGGTAATTAGAAGACCTGACAAAAGTTTCAACAAACCTCTCAAAACATGAACCAAACATCACAAACTCAAAAAATCAGGGAGCTAAAGAACAGCTTTGTGGTCAACTTTTTAAGCATATACTTTAATGATATCCTTACTATAAACATCATTAAGAAACATATTACTTCATTACCTGATCCATAAGCAAGCATTGCTGGTAAGAAGTATCCGACCCGGAAGCTCTTATTCGCCAACCAATCATACCTGTAAGGATATTCGAAGCATTGGTCACATGGAGGTTTTCAGTGACAATAATTATGGAGTATGGAGATGGACCAATGAACTTTTAACGGATAGTCTCTCACAAAACATTGGAAGAACATAAATTATGGCAAGATTATAAATTTAGTACATTAACTTTGAATACTATGTCTATTTAGTCATCTAAACTTTCAAAAAATTTCAGATTATGCTTTTATTTAGTTTCTATCACAAGCAACCACATCAAGTCGATTCAGCCAAAATTTATTCAATAAACATTTCACATTAGCATTTTGCTAATGTTATCAACGGTAAAGATAGAGTACCCAAAGTTTAGAAACTAAATAGTATAGTTAAGGATTTTTGACATATAAGCAAAATACAAAATACAAAGTTTATACCTGAGCGAAAACGCTACTACGAGTCCCGGTAAAAGGATGTCACCGAACCCAATAATGCTATAACCACCCCATGGATCGAACATGCGTGGGATCTTTAGCAGCATCGGGATGCCATCCTCTCCGCTTTTATCACCACGAGCCACCTGTTAAAGGATTTTTCATAGCAACTCAGTCAAGTAATTGAGAGCTGATCATCTTCTAGTCTATGACAATGTCAGTCATAATGGTACTCTCACTACTTACCACGATCATCACACTTTCATTGAACAACTTCTTAGAAACAAACACCCAAAAGATATCATAGAGGAAGGCACAACTGAGAAGCACTGTTCCAACCTTGCAAACACTCAAATCCAATCAAGTGAGAAAAGGAATATTACCAAATGTGAAAACATTTCAACTATTGATCCTGGAATTGTAATCAGAGTCAGTTAATAGAAAAATGTTGAAGATAGAAAAACAAGAACAAAAGCGCTATCAGACGAGTTCTTAGTTGTTAGGATTGGACACTTCTAAAAAGTTCAATTAGTTCAATATTGCAGATGCTGGGATCAAATGAAAGCGGTCTTGAGATATTTTCATCATCTGATGTCATCAAATGTTATTTTCAAAAGCTTTCTTCATAAAATGCATTCGAGCAATCTCGAGACAGAATTTTGATAAGAAGGCCCCTGGAACTACCCAAAAACGTCTTCTAAAGAAAGCATTTAATGAAGAATCAACTGCAAGACAAATATCATCATGTTCTTCACATACATAAACGTAGAACAGAGTTAAAACTTGCTACCTTGAGATTTGGTATACGGACTATTTGAAGAACCGTAATTATCAGTGCAATTCCCTGATTAACAAATAAAATTAAAACAAGAAGTTAGCTGATTCCATTACTAGGCAGTAAAATTGTGGTCTTCAAAATTTTCATATAACTGAGAACAGGCCTCTTTCTGACACCATTTCCTTACAAGTATGTCTTGACCGATCCAAGCAAACGACACATCTCGATAAACTGCCCAAACAACAGCAAATGCTATGCAGAAGGGAGAAACAGCCATAGTGAGGTATGACACAGCTCCAAAGAAAGGCAATTTGATGTATGATTCTCCAATATGCTTAAAGCATCTGCATTACCATATGCATATATTAGCATTTCACTGCTTTACACTATGCAGGAAATATTATCAAGCCTTCATCAAGCTCCGACCATTTATAATAGTCATATTTTGGACATTCTACTTCAATAGCTTATATTGGTTTTTTAAGAGAAGAAATCTTCCAATAGAAGGTTAACTTACAAATTTAGTTCTTAAATTTTTAGGATTGTGTCTAGTAGGTCTATGAATTTTGAATTGAATTTTGTGTATGTGAGAACTCTGACTTATAAATTATGTATCTAATAGGCCTGTGAATTTTAAAAAATGTCTAATAGGTCAGTGATATATTAGATATAAGATTCAAATTTTAGGAACCTACTAAACACTCCCTAAAGTTCATCAACCTATTAGATACCATCTTAAAATTTAGGAACTAAAATAACCATGAAAAGTATTATCCCCTCAAGAGTCGAGGAAGCTTTATAAAAAAAATCCAATTGGCATAAATAAATAACATAAGTAAAAGATCACTAAAATCCATATTTACGGAATCAGAAGTACTTATTCTCTAGCTCCATTTTTCCCAAAACAAAGCCTTAGTAGCAATGGTTCCATAGGTGATCAAAAGCAAAAGATATGGCAGTAACAATCACAAAAAAAAAATAATAATAATAAATAAATAAACTCAAACTAATAATTTGATTATCATCATCTCTCAATCTTAAACATAATTATCACTAATTTAGTATGGAGTATAAACTTTGACAATTGTAGCAATGACTATCATATATGACAAAATGATTTCCAATTAAGAAGATATCATCCTCTTCTTGCTGGGAGACTTGGACCTTTCTACTTTGATTGTTTGTTTGTTTGTTTTTTTTTTTCCTTCATCCAAAAAGAAGGCCTGATCATATAATATTTATTAACTATCCTATGGGAACCTGCCATTTGATATCAGCATCTTAACTCAATCTGCAAAGAATTTTTAATGTCAAATGCAGCAAGGGCACAATCAAATTTACCTTGACAATAGTGCGACCAAACAAGTTTGCAAGCCCTGTAGATCCAATGAGCTACACTATTAATGGACTGGAGGAGAAGATGTGTGAATTATGAAGCAAATACAATCAAACTAGTAAGATAAAGATCTGATAGGATATTATTATATAACTAATAATTAAGAGCTTTGAATCATACCTCTGCACCTCCTATGCAGAAAAGGACTACCAAAAGCTCGATGAACCAGTATGACATGAGTTTGTAAAGCAAAATCAAAAAGCACGAAGCAACGACGACAAACAGGACCGCTGATGCCATGTTTATATATACAAAACCAGGGCTGCCCATGTCTTCACCATTTTGAATATCATCTGCACCATCCTACAAGCAATTGTAATTCATCATAAGAATGCCACTGCAGCGAACAATAAGAAAAATATTGCTGCAGTTGGCAGAGGGCCAATTCAGTTACCTTTAGCAGCTTGTCCTGCTCAATAGCTGCTTCCCTAGCACTCCAGGCCGACCAAAAAGATGAGCACAAGATCGTACCGACAGCCATCAACCATAAGAATACCTCCGCTATGTCGACTGGTGGTCGTAGTGGAGAGTAGAGCTGAACAGACACTGCAGAGTCCAAAAAATTGATTTGCTCATTTCAAATGCCAAGTACAAAGAATGAAAATCAATTGTTTGGAAAATCAGAGTATTCTATGAAAGCAGCGAAAGTTAGGAAAAGCTTGCCTGATGAATTACTTGTAAGCATCTTCTCCAAGCTTGTACCAGCATCTTGTGGGAGCATGACAGCAGGTATATGTATATCTAGATCAGTCTCATCGGGATCACAGACCATCTTGTAGAGCTCTGAAAAATCCAGAAGCATGTTTAGAAGACATGAAAAATGTTGACTACTGAAGCTACTACATCAACAAACAGTATGCTCTTTTTCAACATTTTTCCTGCTTATAAAATAATTTTGCACCATTACAATATAATTGTCTATCTCTTGGCATCCTTGTAGTTTGCCTATTTTGTAAATCATACCCTTATGTTTGATAATGATTTCGCTTTTAGTTTTTTGTTTTTAAAAATTATGCTTTATTCCTTACCATTCCTTTAGTCAAATTTCAAAAACAAAAATAAATTTTAAAAAACTTTTTTTTCTTCAAAATTTTGAGCAATGAGATAAATACAGAAGTAAACAGGAGTCAAATTATTTGAAGCAAATTTTACAAAAACTACACAAGCCATATTGTTAAACACGATCCACCAAAACTTCACCATTGGTACATTTAGAACACAAATAATTATCATCACATACCTTTCTGGTTATTTACTATGAGTATAGCTGAAGCACCTGCAGCTTCTGCAATATTTGCTTTTGTCGTAAATTTGCAGTGACCTCTATCGACCATGATTATATCTCCAGAAAGCTAACAAGTCAGAAGTTACATATATAATTAAAATGAATATGCATAAAGTTTCAACATTCATGCCACTTAGAGGAAGTACATTATATTTCAAATTGAAGAACCTTGTTCTTTGGCTTGCTGCAACAATCACGGGGATTTGCAAGAACAAGGCGTGTTTGATTCGCATTTTTCTCCTTCGACACAATGGTAGCGCCAAATCTAGCACCAACACCGACAAATTCACTAGCTTCTATGCCATCAACCCAAGTTTGAACTTTAACCTAACAAATTCAGGCACAAAATAAGCTGCATTAACCTAAAACAGTTAAGATCATTCAAATAAATTAGCATATAGTCGATTAAAAAGTTGTATTGTATTTACGTCCGCCTGCAGCCAAGCATCGGCTTGCAAATGGGCAACAAAGAACAGCAGCAAGGGTCAGGCATAGGATTAATGACACTATATATACATATAAAATTAAAAGTTTGAAGAAAAATAAGAATAGAATTATACAATCATGTTCTTATAGAACAGACAATCTTCTTTAAGACATCCTTTGCATCTTTTCCAGGAAGAGTATCTCCTATTATAAAGCTCACAATCTAAAACAAACATATATTGAACCAAATAGAAAGAATAATCACAAATTATAGCACATAAACTAAATACAGACCTCAGTTGAAGCAATACAAACTTACCAGAGTGAACGATGAAAGAACCTAATGATCATATCATATGTCTACACAGAACATGTACAAAAATGTGTTTACTAGTCAACACTCATACCACTAATAAAAATTTTGCTAACCACTAATAAAAATTTGACAGCTTTGAAAACATAAATAACATCTCTCTTTTACTACATTCCTCTCTTC